TACAGGGATCCTGTGGATTGTCATTGGAGCTACAGAGTTCATGCTTTGTGCAACTCAGATGGCTAGTCATTCCACAGAGAGTGATCAAGTCACACTGGATAAAACCTGATGCAATGAAGTTTATCTTTACATAAACTGTAATTTGCTCCCAATGTGTATAGTTTTGCAAGCATACAAGTTTGGTGACGGTAGCAAACTCAGGCTTTAAAAATCTGCTATCAGAAAAATTACTGAAGAAGTGCTTGATGAATTTAGACCATATCTGATTGAATTATGAAATATAGGTAAATGTAATTTTTATTTGCTTCCTGAAACTACAAGAATACAAAAACATAATAATTAAAATAAAGAGAAGCAAACACAGATACAAAAACTATAGCACAGACATTGCTGATTGAAATCCACATGGGACCTAAAGAGTAACGTGCATCTTACCAAGTAGTTTAACACACCATATTACAATTAATTCTTTTATATTGTCTGTTTAATGTATTTAGTTTTTTTCCCCCTCAAAGTCGGAGTACATCTGCCCGTGAGGCAGGAAATGGCAAAAGCCAGTAAAACGGTTGTACACGCAAAACTCATGTCCTGGTAAAAGCCAAAAGTCCAATCGGACGATTAACAGGGACCTTTCGCTGGAATTCACAGCCGGTGAATGAAGAAGAAGAAGTATTTTTTTTAAGGGGGGGGGGGGGGGGGAGGTGGGGGGGGGGGATCAAAAAAATTTTGGACACAACAATAATTTGTTTGAAGTAATGACTACTTTGGATATACAACAAACTAAAGTAATACATTCAAATTATGAGAACATAATAAATATATTGTGCAGTTTATCACCTAGAACATTTCACCATATCTCATCATGTGCACTGCTAGAGATACATCAAATTAACTTTAGAATAAAGCAAAAATAAACTGAATCCTTTCCACTGAAAGATACAAATCACATTGTCACCTCTAGATACAATGTCCATCTTAGTACCAGAAGTTCAAGATGCACCTGACAAGATACAGCAAATGTGCCACACAATAAATTGTGCAATATATTGTTTGTTTCCTTACCATTTAAATTCAGTTCAGGAAAATCTTGTTTTAAAGTAACAGGTGTCTGGATCTGAATGAGTTCTTACAAACTTTATCTAAAATATTTACACTGGAATAAATAACAAAAAAGAAACTGTACTAAGTCAGACTTGAACCTTACAAAATGATAGGTATCAAAGTCATCATCAAGACAGATTTAATTTGGACACATTTCTTTTCAATGTTTGGAGACTTTGTTCTGTATTATTTCAAGGAATGGAGCAGCAATACAGCAGATGTTAAAGTACAATTTTTCTTTTAAAATTATATATTTTTTTTTGTAAACATTTCCTGGTGCTCATATTAGACTGATTAGAACTGGCAATAAAGGTCAATTTTAAAAGGCCTGATTTTCTATGTTGGGCAGGAGCTAATCTGTGGTGGTGGTGGTGGTCGAGGGGGGAGAGGGATGGGGGGGGGGGGGGGGGAGATATATCTACTTCCCCCAACAGGGTTTTAAAGTTAAAGTCGGAAGGACTAACTTCAGACTAAATTGTCTGAGTTTTATTCCAGATGGTTTGGTCTTGCTCTCTCTCTCTCTCTCTCTCTCTCTCTCTCTGCAGAATGGCTAGCCACCTGCTGAAAGCTGAACTCTGTAGCGCAGGCGATGATCCCCAGGAACAAACCACAACCTTCAGATTGTGAGATAAACGGCTTGACCACTTTGCCAGAGACCACCCCCCATAACTAAAGGTTACTAATTAGGAGTAAGCTGTAATCAGATGTGATGAGCAGAAAAGCCAAGATAATGCAGGCTAGCTGTAAACCACAAAACAAGGTGCCAAATGTCTTTTCAAGAATGACAGACAAAAAAGGCCAGATACTAATTTAACTCTTTGAGTCCCAGGGGGTTTAGCATTACAGGCCCAGCGGGTAGTAAATGAAGTAATAAAATCAGCGCATCATGCCTTCATTGGGCTTCTAGGTAGGAAGCCATGAACGTATGATGCATTCTTTGGAATTCAAAGAGTTAAGTGCTTTACCTAAGAAGATATGATGTAATAACAAGAGGGAGATCAAGACAAGTATGAATTAATCACAATAAATATATTGTTTATCTAAAAACAATGACTTTAGCCAGTGAAGAACAAATGATTTCTCCCTACAATGTTTGATGGAAAAAAGGTAGAAGATGATGATGATAATGATCAAAAAGTAACAGATGACAAAAATAATTTATGATGTCAATATATGATGTTTACCTATGAATATACTTATAATGATGGCCAGCATCTGATGTACACCATCTCGGCTTAAACAGATTTCTCTCACCTCAACAATCATTGCTATGGCACAAAACTTAATTTTTTTAAATTTACAAAACAAATGAAACAAGATGTATCGTTTCTGAAATACAATTACATGAAAAGTTCAGTAAAATGTAGGCTACATAATCTTTCACATGATTATTCACTCACAGAGATGATTTACATTTTTTGGTGAAGTCTTTCAACTGAAATTAGAAGTGTTTTCAGACCCAACTGCCTCCACCAATCTTGTTGTGTTCATTTTGTTGTTGACAACATCTGATGGTAAGGACATCTTCTTCATAAGATTGTTGTACCACACAGTCATCAGCCTGACCTGGGGCATGATGCTCATCAGTTTCTTGAGTCTTTGTGTGGACTCTGCTTTGGCTGAGGATAGAATTAGAGTATATTATTAACTCTTGGGATTTATCAAAGGTCAACCTGCGTAATTACCACGTGTGAGATGAGATGCATGAGGAAAGGTACCAACTTAACTGGGGCAGTGAAAAATGAAACTATTAACTGTGTGAGATTAGGAGAGAAATAAAACTAATTAACTATCTTGAGACTGAATGAGAAATGAAACTATTAATTATGAGATACACTGAGAAATGAAACTATCAGATCTACAGTGCGAGCAACACTGTGCACTGAGTTCACTAAGAAGGTGAAGATCAATTGGTTTGGTCATCTGGTTAAAATGCAGCCACAACAACTACCAGCACAAGCACTACACCTAAGAAGATCTGGCATGCAAGTTGGCACCATAGGAGAACACAGATTTATTACTTTACAGGCATCCTATATAGAGCTACCCATTGAGCAATGGATCATAATCCCCCCCCCCCCCCCCCTTTCCCAGTGCAGACAGCGAAAGTTGACTCTGATGATGATGGTTAACTCTTTCAGCACCACATAATGCATCAGACGTAGATTAGTTAGTTCAAAGAAAGTACAAATTTCTAACTTTTCTTTTATCAAATATAGTTGTTAAACTGATTTTTTGTACACTGACTTAATGTAATTACCAGTTTTACTCCTTCTGCCCCATGGTGGTATTATTTAAACTTCTGTAGACTCAGACACTGCATACATTAAACTAGAACTTATTTGGATATAAGGATTTAAAGTAATCATAGTCTAGTATCGAAGTAGTTAAGGTGTGATGCTGACCACATCACCCATATTCTGCTGACTGGTCTAAAAAAATACAGGTCTAGCCCTATACGCCATATTCACCTAAAGGCGTGGAAAAGGGACCTTTACTTTACTTATAGTTTACTTTTACTGAAGGAGTTATGATAAGTTGTTAATATATACATTTTGGCTGAAATGTGATAGCACAACATCCAGCTTTAGAATGGAGGTGGAGGCGGTCAATGCAGCTTTCCGCTGGCTAGAGAACATGACACACACATATCGTGATTGTAACTGATTCAGAAAGCATGCTGAGGAAGATCAGAACAGGTATGCTTCGTGCAGAGTGGCATGCTTCGCTGCGGAGGACACAAGTGAAAAGTATTGTCTGGATTTTTCACCGGGTCACGCAGTGTGGTGGGAAATGAACAGGCCGACAGACTGGCTGGCTCTGCACAAATTGGTGGATTACTGATACATGATAAGGCAGACGTAGTTGGTGCCTTGTGGGAAAGCGTGTAAAATTCGGAGGAGCAGATATATCACCAGTCTGGCGAGATTGATGCAGTTGGGGATGACGAGAAGTTCTGGCAGATGCTCGAGGCTCAGAGGAAAGGCAAGACGGACATTTAATCAGAATGCTACTGGCACCGTTAGTATCGGAACTCTTCGCTGGCTGCTGAAGATGGGAACGGAGCGCTTATGGGAATGCCCCGAGTGCTGTGATGTCAGTTCTTGAATCAAATCAAATCAAATCATGGCTGAAAATGTAAAAGTAAAGGACTCTTGTGATGCCAGCAGCACATAAGGTTTTTGATGCTAGACACATATTTTGTATAGACCAATGATGCTGTCGATATCATGATATCTGTCAAAAACCTTTTTTGGTCACTGCTGGCATAACTGTCTTTAACAGAGTATCAAACGAAGATACTGGGAAAAACACATTGTAGAAGTCATTAACGTTGTCAACATTGACTTTATTAGCAACACATATCTAGCACACAAAAACCAGAACCTAACCTGTCAGTCCCTACAAACTAAACCGTCACTATCAATTCACTCCTCACTGACCTTCCTCTCACCCGTTTAACACCAATGTCTTTTTATTTTCCTCTTCTTCTTTTTTTTTTCTTTTCTTTTTCTTTTTATTTGCACTTGCCATTCATTGGCTGTAAACTGTGGCAGAGAAATTCTAGTTGTTCCAGAACTTGAGTTTTGCATGCTGTTTTTCAGATCTGACTTATCTGTATGCAGACTTTTGGTTCCTCGCCTTCAAAAGCTACACTCCAAATTCTATACAGCATTTTGAGAATGTTTTTATTTTTCTAAATTTATTTGTGAGTGCTTTTATAATTAATGGTCTACAAATTTTGAATCTAACACTTTATCAATATGTGAAAAGGCAAAGAGATTGAAAAACTGCACAAATGTTGAGAAAACTAATATTATTTAAGAGCCAATAATAACACATCTACAACTGAGTTATTATTTCAACTAAATGTGTAACAAAACCACAAAAGTACTAACTTGAAATATGAGCCTGCAGTGCAACAATTAAGGCATCCCTTATATCACATACAATCTTAGGTTTTAGAAGTCCAGGGCAGTCTGCAAATGAAAACAAAGATTGAGGTAAGATGATTCCTCCATTTGTTTATTTAATAGTTGTTGTAATGAGAATTAGTAGTGGTAATGATGTTAGAAAGGCCTGACCTTTCACATATACTAGTTCACAGAAAGTGACAGGAGTGAGGAGTAATGGGATACTGTTTCCTTGGTGTGCTGATTGGTTGCTAGAGGTTTTTCATATATAAGACATAGATGACATTCTAAACGCACACAGTTGGTAAAGAGTAGAGGATATCCGGTTATATTCTTTATTGAACTTTCACAGGTAATCAGATCCAGTCAATGTCTACCATTGGCTAGCAGGTCCAACAAGAGATGGTGACATTTATCAAGTACAGAATGGACGTCTACTACCACCCACACTCGTTACCTTCCAGTCCGGTTTCATTACACACGCAATACACACAATGGTTGATCCCGCATCTCTGATCATGGCTGTTAGATTCCTTGGCTGGTTGGAATTCGTCGGCTACCACCTCTGGTTAGGCTGTCATCAGGTTGTTGTCTGGCTTTTCTCTCATGGAATAGAATCTCCTTAACATCTTCAATTATACAATATCACATGCACTCTTCTATCAAATACAACCTTTCACACCAGCTATCAAACACGTACTAACTGATTAGACCGTGTTCTAATCTTATAATCCTCGTTCTAGGTTTCACGTGCAGGTCTCAGCCCTGTTCGTATATCTTGTGTTTCTACGAGTATTTACATTCACATGTATTTCTCTCTTATCTCATGTGACTCCTATTTCATTGTTTAGAGAATCCCTGAGGGAAAATACCAACATTACAAGTAATCAATATTGAGAGCTGATCACTAAAAGACTGTGCTGGCAAACATCTTGGACATTTAATAAGATTTTTTTCCCATGTGGGTTCTGAGGCCTCTTTATGAGGAGAACTAGAATAGACCCACCGCCTCCCTAACAAGCATGTTGTAGTAGTCAACTAATTGGGAGCATCTTTAGAAAACAGAGTAGGTCTGCTTGAAAGGCTAGGGAAAAAAGGAGGTGTGCAAGCAACACTTAGGTTCTGGAACAAGACTAGAGTCCTAAGGTTTGGGTGTATTATACTGGCACATGGGAATGTACCCGCCACAAGTTTTTCAGATGATATCACAAATGCCTTGAAAGTTAACTTACAAGGAGCATGACAAAAATAGGATACTTGAACTAGACATTCTGTGGTATTTCATCATTCAAATAAATCACATTTTGTATTTTGTAAACTTTAAAGATAAATTTCAAATATTCATTTAATTTTGTTTAAGCTCTATAATTTTAATGAAAGGTAACATTTGTTCACATTTCAGTTATTTTTTTTATTTTTTATTCAACTGAGTAGTAGTACAATACTGCAGGGCTCAGTAGATAGAAAGAGGAGAAGAGTCAGACCAAGAAAGACCTGGTTACAGAACCTGACTGGACAGGCCTCAGGCATGCAACCTTGAAGTCCATCGCAAGTGACCGCCAAAGGTGGAGAGAGATGATCAGACAGTCAACAGAAACTGGTGACCTAATGACATGTAGTATTACGGGACGATGATGATGATGATGGGTGTGTACAAGCCACGGTATATTACACCACAATTATTATTTTCCTTGTGAGGTGGACAAACACCCAGAACTTTCTGCCGGAGTTTATAGCAGGTGAACGTGAAGAAGAAGAAGAATTACCAGCCTCTCCGAATGATACCACAGGACACTGTAGAGGGGAAGAGGAAAAAAGGCAGGCCAGGAAAGACGTAGATACAGACTTCTGGCTGAACGGTCAGGCCTCAAACATGCAGACATTAAGTCCAGTACATCTGGTCGACAGTGGTTAAGGGAATTTTTCAGACAGTCGACAGCAACTGGTTACTCAACAACCTGCAGTATAATGGGATTTCTCCCTTTTCTACCTCTGCCTTGAAAAGGGCTGTTGACATGTTGTGATGGCTTTGTATCTGCACCTTTTAACAACACATCCCATTTAAGCAAACTTCTAATTAGTTGATTTATATGACATACATGTTAGGGGAATGTGGGGGGGGGGGGGGGTGGTGTTGAAGGAAAGGAAGGGGGGTAGTGGGTCTATTCTTTCTGCCCCCGAATCCTACATAGGCGGTGTTATGAGACCATACTAATACTGAAGACTGTGTTGGTAAATGTGTGAACAGCCCTGATGTTCATACCAGGTTTCTTAAAGTCTGCCATCAAAAGCTCATTTCTTTCATGCCGACTTATCCTGGTGAGCCTAACCAAGATAGTTTCTTGAGGCAGGATTCTGGAAGCTGTCAACCTATTCTAGATTGTCAGCTTGTATCTTCTTTAGCCTGCTCACTGAGCCTGTCACTATCTATGTTGAGTTGTTTCCTACTCCACCAACCATGCAAGTCCTCCTTAAAGTTGCTATATGAATCATCATGCTTGAAATAGTGGAATGCTTGACTTTCTTCTTTTCCTGTCTTCCCTTCCACCTGCAAATTGAATGCCCATTCAGACTGCACCCCAAGAGAAACTGAACCATCTGCATGGTCTAGTTTGCTGTGGATAAGGGCCCGTATTTCAGCACCAAGGGCTGTTTGGCTATACTCTCTGCAATACCTGCTCAGGGTGATTCTTACATCCATGTGCTCTTGCTCTCACAACTAAACACTGCACACTGCTTGAAATAGTTAGAACAGCATATAATCCTGTTCCAAGGGTGTCTCTGGAGCTAGCGATTAAGCCAGTTGCCTCAAACTTAGTTAGTTAGTTAGTTAATTGGGTTATCATCATTGCACTCCGGACAAGTCCATAGGTGCTCAGATCCTCCCCTCAGTATGAATCCCAAAGTCCGATGGCTAACAGTACTAGTTCTATGTTGATTAACAAGTCTTCTAGCGTGTCTGGTGTGCATCTCGTTTTTTGCTATGCCGATCTTAATTCCCAAGTCTCCCATTCTGGCGAGTGATGTGGATTCACTGCCACCAAAGTCCTCTATCCTTCCCATTTCTCTGGGGGCATTAATAATATCAGCATGATCCATAGGCTGACCATCGGTAATGATAGCGGATCCAGCCAACCTGTCAGCTCTTTCATTTCCATCGACGCCTGCGTTTCCCAGAACAAAAATAAAGGTGACTCCATGTACAGTGGACTTCTGTAATGATTCAAGCCATTATCTTCGCACCGAACCTGCCGGAACCCTCCGGATCATACTCATTGAATTGCCTCAAACTATGGAAGTCATGGGTTCTCTTCACAGTGTCATTACTTTATGAGTGCATTTTGTATCGAGAACCCTCATTATCTTTGCTGGGGCTATATAATTTACATTGTTTGCTGTGCTCTCAAAGGAGTGGCTGGCTGAACAGTTAAGAAAGCAGGGCTCTCATGAGGGAGATCCTGGTTCGAATCATCAGTAAGGTCTTGGATTTTTCCTATCGTAGCAAAAATAAAATCTGAACCTGCACAATCCACGGTGACACGAGTCATATGGCCCTAAATTCTCAGTTCAAAGACTTCTCCACCCTCTCCCAATGCTTACATAGCAACAGTAGTGGCAGATTGGCTGTGCTCTCGCGGTCGAGTAGTCATACTTCAAAGAGAGACTAAGCCATATGAGGAAAGGTATAAACCGGAACTAAAAGTATATTAGCGAGTTTCACAATAAAACACAAACAAAACTTTATGGAGCCTTCATCGGCACATACATAAATTATACAATACTACACAAATACACAATATCACTTATCTTCATATCTCGAAGCAGCCAGGTCAATGTCTAGCCAAGAGACTGGCGGGACATGTGGGAATAGGAAAATTAATATCCAGGGGGAAAGCCAGGGGTTGTAACTCGAGGATAAGATGAAACTGTATGCAGTCACATTTAAATAAAGATGAATTTACAAGTATCAGACAGGTGATGGGCTGGATAGTAATGAATTAAACAACGAATGGCTCATATATAACCATATGAAACAAAACACAGTTCAATAATGTTAATTTTCCCAACTGAAGACTTTGAACTGTATAAATATGGTTCCTATAAAAACTTGTGACAAATTACCTATGCTAGTCATGCTGATAGCACACATCATGGATGCCTCAGTCCTGTCTACTTGTATCTCATGCATCTTGTCACCCAACGACAAGAGATGAAGTTTGTATGAGAATAACGGATTCTGCATTGGCATTGTCCAGTTCCAGATGTGCTTGAATCTTTTAAATTCAGGATCATAGAACTCAGTGCAGGCTATCAGCACCATCAGACCAAATCCAACATTTTTGCCCAGAGAGATCCGATCTTGGATATCCAGCTTGAAGTATCCTAAAGAATACAAATGGTAGCTCAAGCAATGATATCAGGTAATAATGCAAATAAACACATGGAATCAGTTGGGTCAAAAGCAATTTGTTTCTATAATACTTTCTGTCTCAAAGTGTGAACTTAAGCAGTGGTTTAAAATCAGCTAAGACCTGTAGAACCTGCTGATTTTTTAACGTTTTTGCCCAGCAATGCTATAGAAATAGGTCATGAACTCATGGAAATTCCTAGAACAAAATATTTTTTTTAAACCATACACAGGTAATTAATAAACAAATTAAAAAACAAATTAGTAGAACTATAAAAAAGGGTGTTCAACAAACATGAAAAAGAGTTAAGCATTAAATAGAATACACACCCTGGGATATAAAATAAAAAAAAAAAATGTGTACTGGGCGACTCATGTTATCCAGTGACCTCTAACACTGAGACTTATGGGAAAAACTGACATCAACTTTGCTTTTAAAAAAGCCACTGGGGTCATAGAAGCAACGGAATATAACTACCTTTTTTTTTTTTAGAACATTTCACTGCAAACATGGCAATACATTGGTGTCTACATGGTTGTGTCACAGCTGGAAATAACTAGATTTGATTTTTTCTTGGCGACAGGGTTCAGATCTGCCAAGGCAAGGAACTAACAGTCTGCATACAAATAAGTTAGATCTGCAAAGCAAATATGAGTGCAAAATTCAAGTTCTGGAACCAGATAAAAGCTCAAAAGTGGATGACCAAACATGACATTCCACCAGAGTTTACTACCGGTGAACATTTAAAAAACAAAATACATAAAGATCTTGAGAACTCCTATTAAAAAGCAGCAAGTAAGAGAGGATATAACAAGTTTGTGTAACAATATTTGAACTGGGCAATGGATGCAATGTGAGCTGAATGGTACTGAAAGGGTTACCAGCTAAAAAAATCAAAAACAATATTAATTGACTGTTGGTCTTAGTACACTTGATTCTACACCAAGGCGCAGTTGTCATTTGCAGGTGATGGGTTCTAATCTGAACATGATGTCTTTAGCTTTCAACTGTTATGTTGTGACGTGTGTGCTTCTATTTACTTTTTTCGATGAGTACTTAACTGAACATTGTATGCTTGTTTATTACATATATATAATGTTTCTACAGCGCCCAAGGTTTTCCACCTGTTAATTTATGTGTATAAACAGTAAAAAAGCAAAGAAGATATTTAAATAAAAATGAACATACAACTATCAGAGGTGTCATGGTGAAAAAAAAAGTAAAGATCCCTTTTCATGCCTTAGGCGCATCGGGTATATGGGAAGAGTGTTCCATATTTTTACAGACCAATCGGCACTGGGTTAGTAATGTGGTCAGCATTACGCCGGTCATCTTTACTTCCTCAGGACCCATTTTAGGCTGGGTCCACCTGCGACGCCCCATACCATAATATAAATCCACACAGCCAGGTTTCGACCGCAGTACGTCGGATTACGAGTCAGACTCGCAACACCTAAGCCACGGATGCCGTGAGGTGTCATGGGCTGGACAGTAATGAATCAAATTCCAAATGAATAATTCAGTGATTCCCAAGGGCAAACACTATGAAAGTAGAAGTTGCTTGCCTATTTGAGTTTTCTGTAGAGAGAAGTTTAAGGGTGTTAATAAGATTAGATCTGAAAATACAAAAGAGAAATTTACTGGCTGTTTACATAAGCAAGGCTTTTCTTTACAGCAGGGACAGAAGTGCAAATGTAGACAGGCTGTGCAAAGTAAGTGAAGAAAGTGAATTCTGTGGCACTGAAATAGCTGTGCAAATATTACTATCAACATCACAGAATATGCCAAATTAAGTCTATAGAAACTACTTATTTTGTACTCTTGGTAACACAGGGAGGTGACGTGTACAGAGCTAAAGTGCAAGTTAAAGAGGCATATGTCTAAATTGTTGTTTCACACCTCGATTCTAACCAACCACACCTGAAATAGTTTGGTATTAATTATTATCGCCTGTCCATATTTATTATTTTCCTTATTTTAAAGCTGTTTGTTTTTATTAGCTTATAACTCTTTTAAATGTCTCAAGAAATTACATAAAACGTACAATTTTGTTTTCATGTAAAGATGTTTTTATATGTTACTATATAAGGTCGTTTTAATGTATAGGATAATCATAATTAAATAGTTTTCAGAATAAATGTATATGGAGACTCCTGCCAATGTTTAGCCAAACAAGATCACAAATGAAGAACTGAGGATGAAAACAAAACGTGTATCACTGGCAGTGTTATCAAAGGAAGAAGATGGAGATGGCTTGGAAATACCTGCAGAATCCTGTGCAATAACTTTAGCTAGGACAGATCTCCAATGAATGGAAAATAGAAAAAGCGAGATGATGATGCTCTAAGAAAACTTGGATATTGACAGCAGAAAAGGAAACAAACAAATGTAAAATGTCTTGGGATTTCATGCAGAAAAATGCAGCAGTCTGGCTGCAATGAAGAATACTGGTAAATGTGTCAACAGCAACTTTGAGTGGATACAGACATAGATAAATAGCACCATATACTTGATGGAACAACAGCATAAAAAGAATGCTTTATTGCCTAACAAATTTGTACTTCTTTATACATTTTCTAACCCTAAAAGGGTTAAAGAAACATTGAACTACAAACTATTAAAAAAAAAAAAAAATTTGTTAAAGAACATCAGAAATTGAATATCACCTTCAACATTATTTCATCAGAACTACCTCTGTTTCTCTCTGGCTGAAGTAGGGAGGTGATCTGTACAATACTAAAACTGTCCTTGTATATGATATCACAACGTCTAGTTTGAGAATGGAAGTGGAGGCAGTCTCTGCTGCCTTCCGCTGGCTTGAGAATCAGCTGTTCACACATGCCGTGATTGTAACTAACTCACAGAGCATGTTGAGAAAGGTGAATATCACCTTTAACATTATTTAATCTGTGAAACTAAGCACATCATAACTACCTTTGTTTTCCTCTAGCTGAAAGAGGGAGGTGATCTGTGCAATACTAAAACTGTGGGTGGCAGATATTACCATCATAATCAACATCCTGAGCCATGTGATTACACATCACATAGGGCTCACAGCCTAATCCTCCTTTCAGGTCTGTCCTTACCATCTGTTCAATATCCTCAACTGAATCTAGTCCATCACCACTGGTCTCTCTTGACAATGTTCATTTCAGGGTTTCTCTTGGACATACTCATTTCTTTAGTACATTTGTTCTCATTGCAGTGCCTGTTTAGTGATTCTCTATCTGCTTCTCCTCGTGATGTGCTAAATGTATTCCCATTTCTTTTTTAAATAACTTGACACAAGAGGTTGTTTATAAATGTCTCTTGTTTTATGTCTAAATTGTTTTAAGACACATTGAATTGCACACTGAAGAAAGATCAATGGAGAGTCTCATAGATTTAAAACCTGGGAAGATGATTGCTGCCATTATCAGATTATTATAAGGATCGACAGAAAGACAATTAAAACTATTCCTTCCTAGTTTTGGTATTTCAAAACTACCTTTGAAGTGATGCTTGCCACTCTGCATGGAGCATGTCTGTCTCCACCTTTCTCAACATACCTTGTGAGTCAGTTACAGTGACAGCATCTGTGTACAGCAGCTGATTCTCAAGCCAGCGGAAGGCAGCAGTGACTGCCTCTAACTCCATTCTCAAACTAGACGTTGTGATATCATATGCCAGGCCTTGTCGCTATGAACCCCCATGCACTACATCTGCCCCCTAACACAGAGCCATCTGTATGGACAATCAAGTCACCTGGGCGGGAATTTACATGAATCATTTGTTGAACTTCTGATCAGTTTTCGTATTATTCGTGTATAAAACTACATCCACCATCTGGTAAGCACAAAACAATGATAAGACTGTACATATGTGGCATCTTACCTGGGATATTCCTACAGAACCTCTGTCCAGCCACAACATGGCGGGCAATCTTTCGCTGAATGTGATGCCAGTGCTCCTGTTGATCTTGGGGCATTCTCCTCTGTGGTGACAACAAAAAAACATTTAACTCTTTTCAGCTCAGCCCGTACCCAGCAAAATACTATAGATTACTAGTGACTCCACATATCACATGGGACAACAGAATGTAGTGGGTAATGTGATTGCTTGCCAAAACAGTGGCCTAAGTTCAGTTCTGAGAGGCAGAATTCAATTTTCAGAACAGTCAGAGTGGCTGTATACTCAGTCTCATTAAACTGGTCACTAGATCATGTTACTGTACTCCATTCAGACTTCTGGTCATTTTGTAATCGGGACTGTCCGGTCCGATTATAGACAAACCGGGTTTCGGCAAACATCCGGTGGCCTGCATATTTCGGTCCGCCTTAGCGCAGTCGATAAGAGGTTGCTTTCAAATCCAGCTGCGACTCGCTGCAGCCATGGTCGGTGTTCGAAACCGGACAGTTCCCTGGGTTCACCCAGCCTCTAGGAAATGGGTACCAGAGTTGACACTCTGGGGTAAATGGAGGAACATCGCTGCAGCTACAGAGTTACGTGCAAACGGCGACAATTCTTATCAGCTGTCCGTACTGGTGGCAGAGCACTTATGGTTTATAACCGTATGCACTGATGCTGGTCCACATCTCCCGACTTTACTTTACTTTTACTTTGTAATCCGGAGCTCAGGTATAAACTTAGATTGAACAAGATTTCTGGGATTTGTATCTTGGAAACACTCGTCTGAATAGTGATTCTTCAGGTCACTGTGTGTGGTAATTGCTCAGTATGTGAACCTCAATCGGGTTTACTTTCACTTACTTATGGGTACCAGGATATTTTCTGGTAATTATCTGGGGAAAAAGGAGAGGGAAGGGGGAAACTTGTAAGAAAGAAAACTGGCTAAACCAACTCATTTTTCATTTCCCAGAAAATGAAATGGACCAACAATCTACTCAATAAGGGCAGTAACTGCTTAAAAACTGCATTTATCTGTCAATATATTTTACTTTTACTGTATGATCCAGAAAATAGAAACTTTATAGATAGGAGTCACAGCACACACTTGTTCCTGCAGCAAAACTATCATCATTTGGAAGTGACAGGGTCAAGCCTTGGTGTGATATCTATAGCTTTAGTCTTTTATGTTATCTAGTATATTCTTGTATCTCTACTTCTTTCTATGAGTCTGAATCAATACATGTTTGATTATCTTAACTTACTTTCGAAATGTCTGCATTTGAAGTCATTGTTATTTCTAATGATTTCACCCCACAATATTTTTGTTGGGAGTACTTTGGGGATGTCTGGGAACACACCGGAAAAACTTTCGGGACTGTCAGAGTGAACACAGATAATACTGTTAGCCTGGGTTAGTGATGTCAGGAGAAGTTGATGATGTCAGCACCTAGGCCTAATAATCAGGAGAAGCGTTGGACAGACATACATACGGTCAGAATGTTAACGGTACCATCAGAACTGGAACTCTGCATTTGCTGCTGAAGATGGGGATAGAGCGTTTCAAGGAATGCCCCTTGTGCTATGATATCAGTTCTTAACTCTTTCAGGTTTTGATTTGATTTGAAGTTTTGATTTGGCCAAACATATTGCCTCACACATGGCTCTGTATTTGTTTCTTATGTTCTGAGCTACTGTTAAAGTATTCAGGGAAGGTTACTCTAACATTTTCCTTTGAAAAAAATTCTGTGTTTCAAAACACATGGGCAGATTGATCCGATTCATAGCAAGCACTGAACAGTGCATTTTCTAAGTTCATTTTCGAGTGCCGTGGATTCAAGCGTTCGAACCAATAGAACAGGCCACAAAATGCGTCTTTCTGCAGGTGAAATTTTGAAACTGTTTCAGTCGAATATTTTTAGTTCTGATAATGATCATAAAAATTACATTTTTCTGGAAAGGGATTCGGACAGTGAATTTACACCAGCGCAGCTGAGAGATCAGTTGTTTGGGAATCTATCGATTCTGATGAGTTTACACAGAATGTTCCATTGCTACCAAAACCATATTTAGGGTGTAAGAGAAAAAAGTGCTCCAAATAGATAGACATACTAAATTAGGGCTAAGCTATATTGAAATCATTGCAGCTTCAGTCTGTATATAACTGTATAGTAAATAACGTGCGTTATGGTCAATCTTTCTGCCCTTTTTTCTCTGAAATCTTGTTCAGCACTCTGTGAGAACTTAGAGCCTCTGAGTGCTAAACGAACCTAGACATTTTGACAGATTTGGCCCACATTTTCTCTTTACATAAATGGCAGAGAGGGTGGTGTACAAAAAAGGCAATAGAGAATGTCATATACTTCTAATCTCTAAAAAAGTATATGTTTTTAAAAAGAAATGAATGTACATTTTGAATCTGAAGATAAATATATGTTTAATACTGTTTTAGTTATTAGGAAAGAAGAATTCAGCAGGTGGTAATTTAACAACAGCATAATTTTACCCCAAAAAAATTCTTCTTACCATGGTTTTGCAAAAGCGGTGAATATCCATATTTAAGAATAACACTTTAAGGTTTGTTAAATTTACTAACAAATTCATATGTTATGAAAAAATTTATAGGTTCCTTTAGCACTCAGAGGCTCTAAGTTCTCACAGAGTGCTGAACAAAATTTCAGAGAAAAAAGGGCAGAAAAATTGACCATAACACACGTTATTTACTATTTACTTTACACAGTTATATACAGACTGAAGCTGCAATGATTTCAATGTAGCTTAGCCCTAATTTATTATGTCTATCTATTTGGAGCACTTTTTTCTCTTACACCCTAAATATGGTTTTGGTAGCAATGGAACATTCTGTGTAAACTCATCAGAATTGATAGATTCCCAAACAACTGATCTCTCAGCTGTGCTGGTGTAAATTCACTGTCCGAATCCCTTTCCAGAAAAATGTAATTTTTATGATCATTATCAGAACTAAAAATATTCGACTGAAACAGTTTTGAAATTTCACCCGCAGAAAGGCGCATTTTGTGGCCTGTTCTATTGGTTCAAGCGCTGGAATCCACGGCACTCGAAAAAGAACTTAGAAAATGCACTGTTCAGTGCTTGCTATGAATCGGATCAATCCGCAAATGTGTTTTGAAACACAGAATTTTTTTCAAAGGAAAATGTTAGAGTAACCTTCCCTAAATACTTTAACAGTAGTTCAGAACATAAGAAACAAATAGGGAGCCATGTGTGAGGCAATATGTTTTGGCAAATCAAAACTTCTCAATCAACACTTACAGCGTTGCTAGGACCTTAAAGAGTTAACTCACAACTCTATGCTTTCTTTTGCTCCCTAGTAACACATGAGCTGTTTTATGGTGTTAAAATTATACTTGTTTTTTCATACAAGTCAATCTAATTTAAAAAAAAAAAAAACTTGTCCTGACTTGAAGTACACTTGTTACTGCAGTTGTTTGGGTAAATGAATAAGATCAAAGTGTCGTCTTGTGAAAATGCAGCATAAACAACAACCAGGCACTACATCTAAAAAGCTATGGCGTGAAAGTAAGATGCAACCCAAGGAGAAGATGGATTAATGACCTAGCTCTGTCACATCGAGAAAGCCAGTTTTCAGACTTGTATGGGTTTTGATAACTGAATCTTGGCCTGGAGTAATCCAGCTCCTCTCCACCTGCCAACTAGCCTCCATCACCAACATGCCTTCAGTTAGCTAAACGTTGGGACCCGTTGCTATGTTGCCATGTTGAGTCTTTGCACCCCATTCTTGGACTCATTTCGGTCAGTACCCGTGGGCAGTACCTAACTGTAGGTGATTGTTTGTGTAATGGTCTGAGTATTTAAGGCTGTAATGGCTAGTTCTATCACCAAGGACTGTGCAGGTTAGGATTTTACTTATGCCCTAGACAGAGAAACTCCCCAACCTTACTGAGCATTTGATCATGGATCTTCCATATGAAAGCCTTCAAGAATACCTGTGGATAATTTTGATATTCTATATCAATAATATAACAATGTCATAAAAACTGAAGACGTTAAAACAGTGAAACAGCAAAAGAAGGAGGAGGAAGAAGAGGGTAAATAGAAGCAGAATAAGGAGGAGAAAGAGGGGAGCAGAAGGAAGAGGATGTGGTGGAGTAGCAGAAGAACAACAACAACAAAACAAGCCATTGTTTAAGTAGACTGTGTAGTATAGATAAAAGTGAATCACTTACATTGACATATTCTGGCTCATTTGTCATATACGTTTTCTGCAGACTGTCAAAAGCATCCAGAATATCTTGAATTATTTTCTGCTGCTCTGAAGTCATCGCAACAAACGGTTCTAAAGGCTTAAATCCATGCCAGTATTTGTGTGAAACTTCAGGAGAAAACTCATCTGGTGACATCAGAGAAACAATGACTTCATCGTCAACTCTGTTATCACCATCATCATCCTGGTGATCACAACCATAGCTATCACAAGAGTTGTCAATGCCGAGAAATATTCTGTTGATTTCATGCAGCAGTGTAGAATCTCGTATGAGGGAGCTGTTAAAGCTGTCATCGTAGACTTCTCCCTGGTGGCTGCTTTGGTTTTCGGGGCCAGAATGGATATGCTGGGGAGATATGTACTGACTAACTTGACTGGTGTTGTTACTGCCACTGTAGCTGCTATTCACATCTTGTCTGTCGCTGAGACCTGATTGTGAACTTGGTGAGGTCACACTTGGATACTGCTTTCTGTACACATGATTCAAACTTTGGCTGGAGGTACTAATAGTTTGATAGTCTCTTGCAGACTCCAAAGGTGTCTGCCTGTGGTATAGACTCTGCCTTTCAAGGTGTGGATGGTGTTCGCTGCCCAACAAAAAACTTGCTGTTGGTTCCCTTGTGACATCAATATTGTTTTGTTCAGATAAATTTCTTTGGTCTTTTGATATAGTCTGCTCATTCATAAACTGCTGCGTCGGTTGCTGATCTGCACTAACCGTGCTGAGCAGCTCCTCAATTTCTTCAGGAGTTAGCTGAATGGGCCTTCCTGCCTGGATTGCTTCTCTATGCTGCTGTAAAATTGCAGCAATTGGGCTTCTA